GCGGCGTCCCTATCAATTGCCAAGAAGAAATACGACAAGGTTTCTGAGCGTATCGATATCACAGTGTGTCAGGAGTTTAAGCAGCACTACCTCGGAATTTATGACGTCCGCGGCAAACTCATCGCCTTAGCTGACAGCATCCAGCCCACGGCAAAGGATCAGAAACAAAACGTTAGATCCGAGTTTGAAATGCTCAAGAAAGGGCCAGGCAACACTAGCGTCGATAAATGGCTCAGCCGCTGGCCGACCGTCGTCAGCAACGCGAAGCGTTACAAGATCGAGAACCTTAGCGAGTCGCAGATCTGTGATGCATTTATCGAGGCATCTCGTGAAATCAACTCTCCATTTTACAATTACATGAAGTCCAAGGAGGCTCAGGTTGAAAATGAAAGGAGACTCATCAAGGAAACTGCGAAGACTATGGAGAGGATCTCAAATGCGCTCCTTACCGCGCTCAACGAGATTAATCCAGATCATGCCAGTAGCGCTTCCATCACAGTCGCAACCTCAACTGAGTCTGAAGAGGACGACCCCGACGAAGATGTCGACATCACCATTGTCCAGAAAGCTCAAAACACAGTCAATAGAGCCATTAAGACCTTTCGCAAGCTCAATCCAAATCTTTCCGATCAGAAGATCACGATCGGATTCTGTATTAAACAGTTTAGGACAATGGCACCGCCAAAGGAGAAAGCCACGAGAGGGCGAGCAGCTCATGCCACTCTTCAGGGCAAAAAGCATAACCACGATTCAGACTCGCAGAACGAGGAGGATCAGCCTCAACAGAAGAGACAGCGAGCAGAGCCTTCATCGCCGAACACAAGTATTCGAAATTGCGTCTGTGGTATGTCCCACAAATATGCCGAATGCTACTACCTCAATCCTTCAAAAGCACCGGAGGGATGGGTACCAATCGTTCAAGTACAGTCAAAAGTCATTACCGCTCTCAAAGGCAGCAGGCGCATTCGAACAAACATCGAAAGGAGCTTCAAAAGAAGCAGCATAGACTTGCCCCAATTCTGGCCGTCTAGTACTATGCAGGATCAACCTAAAAGGCCTGCAGAAGACGACACATCGCATGTCTCTGCAAAGCAGGGTAAATCAAGAGCTGCATTTGCAACACACAAGTTCGCGTTCAGCACAAGCACAAATGACGAGTATCAAGATTATTTCCGACTCGATAATTGTGCAGATACACACGTCTGTAACGACTTGTCTCGCTTTACTAAATACAAGCCTCTGTATGACGAGACCATACAGTTCGGCAACTCAGGCACGTACATAACAGGCACGGGCAGCGTAAGCGTACATGTCCACACTCTATCAGGCCCGAGTCTAATTCAACTCGAGAACGTCGCTCACGTTCCTGGATTCCACTGGAATCTCATTAATACACATTAATACACACTCTCTCGAGCAACAAGGGCTTTACTTCAACACCAGAACTTGTTGGATGGAGTATTCTGATGGATCAAATGCTTTTAAAGTAACCAAACACGGTGCTTTTCGAGTGGTCGAACCTCATATCATGGCTTCGGTGTTCAAGGCCGAATCTCATGAAACTGCAGCGCAATCCTTTGCAATGGCTACCAAATCTAGAATGCCTCAAGTAGCCATAGCTTCTATGGATATTTGGCATGCACGACTAGGCCACATCAGAAAAGAAACCCTTAAACATATTCCTCAAGCAGTCCATGGTGTCGCACTTGGCACTCGCAACTTTGAACGAGAATCAGAACTCTGTCCTGAGTGTCAGCTCGGACAAGCGCGTCAGCAAATCTCACGCGTACCAACATGGAGGGGAACTTATCCTTTCGAAAAAATACATCTTGATCTTATCGACTTAGATGAAGCATTCAACGCTGACTCTTGGGTCGCTCACTTCTACTGCGATTATTCTGCCTACCATGTACCATTCAATCTTCCAAATAAAACTCAAGAAGAGATCCTTTCCGTGACACAGGAGTTCCTTGCCATCACAAATGACAACTGGGGATTCACTACGCGATATATACAATCAGACGGCGAGAAGGGTTTGGGAAAGAAGTGGAAGGACTTCATCATAATGAAGGGAATCACTTTCAATCCATCACCGCCGGATACGCCAGATCAGAACGGTCTTGCTGAACGTTCTGGGGGGGTGATCATGACTATCGCTCGCAAGCTTCGAATACAGGGCAATCTACCACAGAACCTTTGGCCGTACATCGTTGCTCACGCCACTCGCCTCCTCAATCGCATCCCAGTCCAAAGAAAACACTGGCAAACTCCATTCGAGATGGTTCACGGTCGAAAACCGAACCTCTCTCACCTTAAAATAATCGGTTCCCTAGCTTATGTCTTGATCAAAAGCAAGAAGATCCGTCCGGCCAGAGCGAAGCTGCAAGAAAATGCTCTCATGGGATGGCTTGTCGGATTGGAAGCAACCAACATCTATAAGATTTGGATCCCACAACTTGATCGTGTAATTGCATCTCGGGATGTCCAAATAGACGAGAAAGTCATGTATAAACCAGAGATTGCCACAGCCCTTCCCGATTCGAGACAATCTCTTTCAACAACGATCAATGAAATTGATCTCGACGAAGAGGACATGGAAGCATTGCCTGTCATGGGGGACATCACAGCTTCTGTTCCAGTTTCAATACAACCAGAAACAGAACTACCTCCAGCAGGATTACCTCTTACTCCACAAATATCGCCTGAACCGGCAACAACAGGGGAGATACAGGTCGTAGCGCATGTGGGTAAATCGCCAGGAATGCCGCGACCTCCGAGTCCTATATCTCTTCATCACGCATCACCACGGCCTCAAACAGATGTACCAAACCCAAACACATCCAGAAAGGAAAGGATAACGGATGCTTCAGTGCTCCAGAACCTTCGAACAGCTTCTGGGAGAAACATCAAACTGTCACAGAAAGGCCAAGATGCAATCGAAACACTCAAAACAAGCTACACGCAGCCACAAATCCACAAACGTGTGCGACGGCATGCTCACGCTTTGCAACTAGAACGTGCTGAGCTGGGACAACAACTCACCCACGCTTTCTCATCAGCACGATCAATCAGAACTCATCGAAAACATTTATTGCCTCCACCTGACTTTTGGCATCAACTAAGGCGACATCCTGAAAAAGAAGGTTTCAGACGTGCCGCAGATGCAGAGATCAAGTCACTCGAGGAAAAAGGAACTTTCAAATTAGTGGATTACCCGGAAGACAAACAAGTCCTCCCGCTCAAATGGGTCTTTACCTACAAACTAGATGATGCAGGCTATCTAATTCGCCACAAAGCGCGCATTTGTGTCAGGGGTGATCTTCAACATCATACGGGTGATGATATCTACGCAGCAACTGGCGCATATAGGAGTTTTCGGATCCTGATGGCCCTCGTCTGCGCGTTCGGGCTTATATGTCATCAAATTGACTTCAAAAATGCCTTCATCAACGCCCACATGGACGAGGAAGTCTACACCACGTGTCCACCAGGATATGGTAAATCAGGAAAGGTCTGGAAACTAAGAAGGGCGCTGTACGGTCTGCGTAAGTCACCAAAGCTATGGTTCAACGAGTTGGTCACGTTTCTTCAAGGCCTGGGATTTGAATATTGCCCAGACGAACCGTGTATCCTCATCAACAATGAGACCCATCTCATTCTATTTCTTTACGTCGATGATCTCCTCGTCATCGCGCACCAAGAATATCTTCATATCGTCAATGAGTTCAAAACAGCAGTACACAGAAAATACGGGATTAAGGATCTGGGTGAAGCAATCTCCTTCCTCAACATCAGAATCCTTCGAGACATTAAAGCCAAAAAGCTCTGGATCTCCCAGGATAGTTACATCGACAAACTCAAAATCAAGTTCGGGATTGACCAGTCGATGAGAACGGCAACGCCTCTCATTTCCTCATATCATCCCCAACCTTTCGAAGGACAGGCCACTATACAACAGATTACTGAGATGCAAGAAAAGGTAGGGTCAATTCTCTATGCAGCAGTCGTGTCAAGACCAGATGTCTCTTTTGCAGCCAGCCAGTTAAGCCAGTTTACCTTGAACCCTTCGCCAGAGCACCTGCGGTATGCAAATCGAGTTCTCTCATATCTCCAGACCACACAGTACTATGCCATCGAGTTCTCAGGCTCTATAGATAAGGCTATAGAGGGAGAGATGGGCGATGATGAAGTGCTACAGCTGTCAAGCGACGCATCGTTCGCGGATGATCCCGAGACTCGAAAATCGACCCAGGGTTACCTAATGAAGTTATTCAACGGGGCTATCATGTGGCAGTCCTCGAAACAGAAGACTGTAACCACGTCAACAACTGAAGCTGAGCTCTTATCGCTGTCTCACACAGCGAGGGAGACAATATCTCTATACCGGCTGTTCCAACAGATAGAGTTCAATCCTGAACTGCAACCTCGCATCCTCTGCGACAATCAACAGACAGTGGGCCTGATCCAGAAAGAGAGACCACAACTTACCTCAAAGCTAAAACACGTCGACATCCACAACTTCTGGCTAAGACAGATCCATAGAGATGGCAACATCACAGTTCAGTGGGTACCAACTACAGACATGCCCGCAGACGGCTTCACAAAACCTCTTTCAGCAGAAAAACATTCTCACTTTATAAAGCAATTGGGTCTGGTTGATATCTCATTTCGGATTGATCCAGAGGACGCTTCACAGGAGAATATTGATGATGATATTCAGATGTCATCTGACACAGAGTGAAATCTGGGGGGGTGTGTCGCAAATAATGCATGATCTTTGATGAGCCACATGAAACTACATGTTAATAATCCACCTGTGTACTTAAAACATCTGCGGGATAGGACCCCGCACCTAACTTCAATCAAGAACACAACTTTTTCTCACCCATTTTTAAGCACGTAAAAAGTGCGATATGAGGATATTGAGAAACAGTCGATTAGTAACGGTCGGAGCACCCCGCCCGTCTCAGTTTGAAGGCCCTATTACCACAAACTCGTGTCTGAGAGCGCATCCTCAAAGCCCTGGGATGCACAACTTGCCATGCTACCGCCCCATCTCGTACCTGATTCGCCTTCCGCTTCCTGTCCACCTCGCTCTCCTGGTAAGGCTATGTTGAGCTGATCAAGCCACCCATTCTTCAGCCAATGTTTCAAGCGTTCCATCTGTTCGACTGTCCCTGATCCCAAATTCGCTCTGCTCCAAGGTATTTGGCGTCTAGCCCCCGAGAAAACGCGCTCCGCTTCTGCCGACATTGCTGGCACCGACAGGATGTCAATTGCCATAAGAGAGAGGCGCGGGTACCGTGCTCTTTGTTGCTTTTGACACCACCACTCCAACGCGGTCTTTGTGGAGATCTCAGTAGGATCAGCTTCAATAAAGGATGCCCAATTATCAGCCGAGGTTTGTACTACGTCAAGATCTTGCTCAAGAATATCATACTCATCTGGCTCCTGAGTTGGCTCCGACGAGTCGGAAATATGATCCGCTTCAGCCGTCGCATACCTTTCCTCCCAGAGTCCTTGAAGCTTTGGGAGCACTGCTGTTACCCAAGCCTTGTTCCAGTTTACACCAATATAGCGCTTTCGCCTCGAGGGATGAAGGAGCAAAGCGGCTGCATAAGCTGGCACTTCATCAGTGAGGAGATAATACTTATCAAAGGCGTGCCACGCCATCAAAATTGCATTCTGAAACTCTATGTTGTTCGAATGCTTGTTCTTTTGCTTCTCAAAATGTTTAACAAGGATGTCCATAAAGTTGCCAGCGTCTTCTCAATGCAGTCAAGATCACCTTGCGTTCTACTTGTGACCTTTTCAAACGGCTTGAGGAAGGTGTTGATCTCACGTATAGTATCCCAATCGTCAGGCGTAAGCGCGTAAAGTGGGGTGCCAAAAGTCTGCGAACAAAACCGCGGCACGCGTGCGCGTCGCGACACACCTTCAACACAACCACTACCTTCAATTACAGATATCTTTGCAACGCAATGCCTGAAAAGCGTGCCTTTGGCACGGAGTTATCGGTAAACCGACCTAAACATCATGAATTTTCCCCGGTTCAAAAAGCGGCAATGGTGGGCGAGTTATCTGCAGGCAAAACCCACCGCGCGGTGGCGGCTCTGTTTAACACCACACCTTCAACTACTGTCGCGATGTAAATCGCTTACGGGCTCAAGCCTAGTTGCCCCTAACAACACCTTCCCCTGTAAAGGTGCACGTGACTAAGATTACAGCACCTCCTTTCCTATTGATAGCTTCAAGCTCTAGATAGAAACAACAAGAACAAGAAGAACAATGATCATATGACTACTGCAGTAGCTAGTGATTACCGCCTGCGAACCGACAACTACCTACAAGATCTTCAAACGCTGGAAAACCACCCAATCAATAGAAAATAAGAAAAGAAGTGGTAGACCGCCAAAGCTTACAATGGCAGAGAAGCGATACATTATTATTATGCTTAAAAAAAAACCGTAAGATTACATATGATGCCCTAGTTGGCGCAATGGGCGGTCGCGTGTCAAAGTCAACTATACGGCGATGCCTTCGTAAGGATTGGGCACGCAAATAAAAAGCAATGGAAAGGATTCCATTAACAAAAGAAACAGCAGCCCAGCGCCTTGAATTTGCACGTTATTGGATGCCAATCATTGACGAATTGATGGAGGTACGTGGCTTTAAACTTGGTAACCTATTAGGCACTAACACGCTAAAGTAGGTCATCTTCTCTGATGAGACCTCTATTCAAAATCTACCAAATAATACACGATATTGGCTCTTCCGGAAGCCTCATGAGAAGTTTAAGAAGCCTCTGGTTAATCTTAAAGTACATGGAAAGCCTAAATTATCATTGATGGCTTGGGGAGCAATCTATCGGACTGGAAAAAGTGACCTTGTCATTATGGAAAGGGACCAAGATGCACCACGTAAGGGATATACAGCTAAGAGCTATCAAAAGGCATTAGCAAAGGGACTTCTTCCAATTTATAACGGCACACGGCAATTCCAGCAAGATAATGCAAGGATACACAACTTTGGAGGCACGCCGCAGTGGCTGCAGCAGCACTGCATTCAGTGGATTGAGTGGCCTGCACATAGCCCTGATTTAAATCCGATTGAACACTGTTGGAAGGCTCTAAAGCAGAATTTAACTACTTTATTCCCTCATATTGAAGACCTAAAAAATAACATCGCAGACAGAGCTAAATTGGAAGAGTGCATGCATGCGGCGTGGGCAGCAGTGCCCCAAGCGCTCATAACGAGGCTAATTGAGTCACTCCCCCGCCGTTTACGCGCTGTTATTCGTGCAAGAGGTTGGTATACAAAATATTAAACGCTAATTACAGGGGATTCTAGTCATATAGGCCTTATTAAATTCCAAGCATAATTGGCCAAGTTGTGGCCATTTGAAGTGGTGTGCAATTATCACGTTGATGGTGGTGGGGTGTTTTGTTCGCAGACTTTTGAGACCCTACTTTACTTCCCGATCTCTTTGCGGTGGGCTTTAACAAAGGCATCAACGTGGCCCTCAAGCTCACAAGCCACTGCACCCATTGTGTACCAACTATTCCATCGAGTGTCATTGTCCATGAGTATCATACGGCCGGCAGCGTCGAAAAATTCGTTATAGAGAAGCTCCGAGGCCCTCATGTGAGCAACGATCATATGAAGTTTGCCCAGCGGCCCGATATCCTTCCAACTGCGTCTCTTCTTCTTTCTCGACACCGCAACAAGCCGACTTTCCTCGTCTTCCCTTTCATCCTCTTCATCGCGGTCATCATCCACATTGGTCTCATCTCCACCTCGGCCAGCGCTGGACCCACGCCTCACCTCATCCACCACCGCATCAATAGTCTCTTTATCGGGCGCAAAGATGAACGCCTGACTAGCCAAATTTATGACATAGCCATGGCATCGAATTCGACGAGCCTTGGGCTGCCAGTCAACTTGGTATTGCTCTCGAAAGTGGCATGATATGAAGCGGCAGCACTTGTCATTCGATCCGTGGTTGTCACCTATGTAATAGCCCAGCTTATGCGCAATCCCATACCAATCGATTATCCTATTGAGATGCTCGGCTTGGTGTTGGCCACCGTGGCTGCCTCGCAGGCGTGGGAGGCCTAGCAGCGCCTTGCGGCTCTTGCCTCCGGCATCAACAAAGTGCGCAACCAGTGATGGATAGCCACGCGTGT